CGTCCCTCTGTATCCCTCATATGGATATATTGTAACATCCCTCTGTATCCCTCCTATGGAAACAATGTAACATCCCTCTGTATCCCTCATATGGAAACAATGTAACGTCCCTCTGTATCCCTCCTATGGAAACAATATAACGTCCTTTCTGTATCCCTCCTATGGAAACAATGTAACGTCCCTCTGTATCCCTCCTATGGGAACAATGTAACGTCCCTCTGTATCCCTCCTATGGGAACATTGTAACGTCCCCCTGTATCCCTCCTATGGAAACAATGTAACGTCCCTCTGTATCCCTCCTATGGGAACAATGTAACGTCCCCCTGTATCCCTCCTATGGAAACAATGTAACGTCCCCCTGTATCCCTCCTATGGGAACAATGTAACGTCCCTCTGTATCCCTCCTATGGGAACATTGTAACGTCCCCCTGTATCCCTCCTATGGAAACAATATAACGTCCCTCTGTATCCTCCTATGGGAACAATGTAACGTCCCCCTGTATCCCTCCTATGGGAACAATGTAACGTCCCTCTGTATCCCTCCTATGGGAACAATGTAACGTCCCTCTGTATCCCTCCTATGGGAACAATGTAACGTCCCCCTGTATCCCTCCTATGGGAACAATGTAACGTCCCCCTGTATCCCTCCTATGGGAACAATGTAACGTCCCCCTGTATCCCTCCTATGGGAACAATGTAACGTCCCCCTGTATCCCTCCTATGGGAACAATGTAACGTCCCCCTGTATCCCTCCTATGGGAACAATGTAACGTCCCCCTCTGTATCCCTCCTATGGGAACAATGTAACGTCCCCCTGTATCCCTCCTATGGGAACAATGTAACGTCCCTCTGTATCCCTCCTATGGGAACAATGTAACGTCCCTCTGTATCCCTCCTATGGGAACAATGTAACGCCTGTCCAGTTTCACCTCATTAGAGGCTGTGAAATGCGTCCCACTGGGAGCCATTGTCCCTGCAATCCACAAGCCGGTGACCATGGGGGGGTAATGAGGCTGTTTGGGGTAATTATAGAGGACATTACTGAGGAGATGGTCATTAGAGGGATCACAAGGGGCCCTAATTACCCCCCTTCTCTCCAGGTACAGGGGCCCCTCCTATTATTCAGCTTTAGTGCTCTCAGAATAACATGGAAGGTGATGATTGGCTAATATTTGTGTATTTAATAAACAAAAAGACACAAATGGTGACAACATCCAGCTGGGTGAGCTCTGATTACTAAAGGAACATTCGTCCAAAAATCCTCAAATCCTCAAATCCTCAAATCCTGAGTGCGATCGTTCGAGGACTCGAGGAATGTTGTTAGAAAGTCAACTTCAAAATTGCGTTTCCATTTAACATTCCTTCATATCTGCGCAAGGGGACGTCTCTTCATTACTGCGCAAGGGGACGTCTCTTCCATAATGCGCAAGGGGACGTCTCTTCATTACATCTGCGCAAGGGGACGTCTCTTCCATAATGCGCAAGGAGACTTCTCTTCCATAATGCGCAAGGAGACTTCTCTTCCATAATGCGCAAGGAGACTTCTCTTCCATAATGCGCAAGGAGACGTCTCTTCCATAATGCGCAAGGGGACGTCTCTTCATTACTGCGCAAGGGGACTTCTCTTCCATAATGCGCAAGGAGACGTCTCTTCCATAATGCGCAAGGGGACGTCTCTTCATTACTGCGCAAGGGGACGTCTCTTCCATAATGCGCAAGGGGACTTCTCTTCTATAATGCGCAAGGGGACTTCTCTTCCATAATGCGCAAGGGGACTTCTCTTCCATAATGCGCAAGGGGACGTCTCTTCCATAATGCGCAAGGGGACTTCTCTTCCATAATGCGCAAGGGGACGTCTCTTCCATAATGCGCAAGGGGACGTCTCTTCCATAATGCGCAAGGGGACGTCTCTTCCATAATGCGCAAGGGGACGTCTCTTCCATAATGCGCAAGGGGACTTCTCTTCTATAATGCGCAAGGGGACTTCTCTTCCATAATGCGCAAGGGGACTTCTCTTCCATAATGCGCAAGGGGACGTCTCTTCCATAATGCGCAAGGGGACTTCTCTTCCATAATGCGCAAGGGGACGTCTCTTCCATAATGCGCAAGGGGACGTCTCTTCCATAATGCGCAAGGGGACGTCTCTTCCATAATGCGCAAGGGGACTTCTCTTCCATAATGCGCAAGGGGACGTCTCTTCCATAATGCGCAAGGGGACTTCTCTTCCATAATGCGCAAGGGGACGTCTCTTCCATAATGCGCAAGGGGACGTCTCTTCCATAATGCGCAAGGGGACTTCTCTTCCATAATGCGCAAGGGGACGTCTCTTCCATAATGCGCAAGGAGACGTCTCTTCATTACTGCGCAAGGGGACTTCTCTTCCGTAATGCGCAAAGGGACTTCTCTTCTATAATGCGCAAGGGGACTTCTCTTCCATAATGCGCAAGGGGACTTCTCTTCATTACTGCGCAAGGGGACTTCTCTTCCATAATGCGCAAGGGGACTTCTCTTCCATAATGCGCAAGGGGACTTCTCTTCTATAATGCGCAAGGGGACTTCTCTTCCATAATGCGCAAAGGGACTTCTCTTCTATAATGCGCAAGGGGACTTCTCTTCCATAATGCGCAAGGGGACTTCTCTTCATTACTGCGCAAGGGGACTTCTCTTCCATAATGCGCAAGGGGACTTCTCTTCCATAATGCGCAAGGCGACTTCTCTTCATTAATGCGCAAGGCGACTTCTCTTCATTAATGCGCAAGGGGACTTCTCTTCATTATTGCGCAAGGCGACTTCTCTTCATTAATGCGCAAGGGGACTTCTCTTCATTACTGCGCAAGGGGACTTCTCTTCCATAATGCGCAAGGGGACTTCTCTTCCATAATGCGCAAGGCGACTTCTCTTCATTAATGCGCAAGGCGACTTCTCTTCATTAATGCGCAAGGGGACTTCTCTTCATTACTGCGCAAGGCGACTTCTCTTCATTAATGCGCAAGGGGACTTCTCTTCATTACTGCGCAAGAGGACTTCTCTTCCATAATGCGCAAGGGGACTTCTCTTCCATAATGCGCAAGGGGACTTCTCTTCATTACTGCGCAAGGGGACTTCTCTTCATTACTGCACAAAGGGACTTCTCTTCCATAATGCGCAAGGGGACTTCTCTTCATTACTGCGCAAGGGGACTTCTCTTCATTACTGCGCAAAGGGACTTCTCTTCCATAATGCGCAAGGGGACTTCTCTTCATTACTGCGCAAGGGGACTTCTCTTCATTACTGCGCAAGGGGACTTCTCTTCATTACTGCGCAAAGGGACTTCTCTTCCATAATGCGCAAGGGGACTTCTCTTCATTACTGCGCAAGGGGACTTCTCTTCATTACTGCGCAAGGGACTTCTCTTTATTACATCTGCGCAAGGGGACTTCTCTTTATTATTGCGCAAGGGGACTTCTCTTCCATAATGCGCAAGGGGACTTCTCTTCCATAATGCACAAGGGGACTTCTCTTCATTACTGCGCAAGGGGACTTCTCTTCATTACTGCGCAAAGGGACTTCTCTTCCATAATGCGCAAGGGGACGTCTCTTCATTACTGCGCAAGGGGACTTCTCTTCATTAATCTGCGCAGGGGGGCTTTTCTTCATTACATCTGCACAGGGGGGCTTCTCTTGTTTGCCTGCCCATGTGCGCAAAACTCGGCACATGCACAGATGTCTGGTTTTGCTGGGTCCCGAAGGCCAAGAAGATCCCTATCAGCACATCTGCACACATGCCGGGTATTCAAAAATGGCGGCACTGGTGGAGGTGCCCAGAACCCAAACTTTTTGTTTTTGGATGGAGCACAGAAGGGAAGAAGGTAGAACCCTCTCATTTATTTATTATTTATTTCAGGTACTTATATATCGCCATCAATGTACTCCGCGCTTTACATATATATTGTACATCACATCAGTCCCCGCCCCCGAGGAGCCTACAATCTAAGGTCCCTAACTCACATTCATAACTACACATACTAGGGCCAATTTAGACAGGAGCCAATTAACCTATCAGCATGTCTTTTGGAGTGTGGGAGGAAACCGGAGTACCCGGAGGAAACCCATGCAGGCACAGGGAGAACTTGCAAACTCCAGGCAGGTGGTGCCGTGGTTGGGATTTGAACCAACAACCCGAGTACTGACCATTTAGCCGCTGTGCTGCCCATTTTTCAAGCATGGGTTTTATTCTGCCTGTGTGCCATTAGTAAGATTTTCCTTTGCTTCCTATACCGGAGACACAGCATTGTCACGTCCCTCTGGCACCCCAACAGGAGTCCCCACTAGAAGATTTCTCCCTCACCTCCTGTTTTGGTGACAACTGTAAAACGTTGGATTCTTGTCTTGGAGACAGTGGTCACCAGGACACATACAGGGGAGGATCTTCTCAGCGAAGGAGCAGAAAGCAATGGAAACCTGACAGGGGTTCTAACCCTTCTACTTCACGTTTTGGCTGCTGATAGACTTAGCTGAAGAACTGCAGCACCCTCTTACATCATGTTCCCCATCGGAGTCCCTCCTTAAATCATAGTCCCCCCATCAATCCCCCCCCCCCCTTACATCAGGGTCCCCATCAGAGTCCTCCATTTACATCATATTCCCCATCAATACCCCCCTTTACCTTTACATCAGGATCCCCAATAAAGTCCCTCTTTCCTCTTTACATCAGGGTCCCCGTCAGAGTCCCTCCTTACATCAGAGTCCCTATCAGAGTCTCCTCTTACATCAAGCTCCCTTTCTGAGCCCCCCACTTACATCAGGGTCCCCATCAAAGTCCCTCCTTACATTAGGGTCCTATCAGAGTCACTCCTTACATCAGGGTCCCCATCAGAGTCCCTCTTTACATTAGGGTTCCCATCAGAGCCCCCATTTCATCAGTGTCCCCATCAAAGTCCCTCCTTATATCCGGGCCCCCATCAGAGTCACTCCTTACATCAGGGCCCCCATCAGAGCCCCCCACTTACATCAGGGTCTCCATCAAAGTCCCTCTTTACATCAAGGTCCCCATTAGAGTCCCTCCTTACATCAGGCTCCCCAACAAAGTCCCTCCTTACATTAGTGTCCCTAGCAGAGCCCCCCACTTACATCACGGTCTCCATCAAAGTCCCCTTTACATCAAGGTCCCTACCAGAGTCCTTCCTTACATCAGGGTCCCCATCAGAGTCCCTCCTTACATCAGGGTCCCCATTAGAGTCCCTCCTTACATTAGGGTCCCCATTAGAGTCCCTCCTTACATCAAGCTCCCCACCAAAGTCCCTCCTTACATTAGTGTCCCTAGCAGAGCCCCCCATTTACATCACGGTCTCCATCAAAGTCCCCTTTACATCAAGGTCCCCACCAGAGTCCTTTCTTACATCAGGGTCCCCATCAGAGTCCCTCCTTACATCAGGGTCCCCATCAGAGTCCCTCCTTACATCAGGGCCCCCATCAGAGTCCCTCCTTACATCAGGGTCCCCATCAGAGTCCCTCCTTACATCAGGGTCCCCATCAGAGTCCCTCCTTACATCAGGGTCCCCATTAGAGTCCCTCCTTACATCAGGCTCCCCACCAAAGTGCCTCCTTACATTAGTGTCCCTAGCAGAGCCCCCCACTTACATCAGTGTCTCCATCAAAGTCCCCTTTACATCAGGGTCCCCATCAGAGTCCCTCCTTACATCAGATTCTCCATCAAAGTCCCCTTTACATCAGGGTCCCCACCAGAGTCCTTCCTTACATCAAGGACCCCATTAGAGTCCTCTCTTACATTAGGGTCCCCATTTGAAGTGCAGACCAGCTGATCAGAATCCTCAATCTGTGCACCGGGTCTACATATACAACTGTCCCTTCTTCATAAGCCAGTTATAGACTGGGGCAGGTGCCATATTTTGCTGTAATGCCTCTGTCCCTAGCTGCAAGCCGCCTAAAATCTTGTGGCCCCCGGGCCGTAGATTAGAGGCCCCTCATCTAGAGGGTCAAGGTTGGCTTTGCATTCAATGTTCAGTTCTGAAGATGTGGGAGAGATCACCGATCATCAAACCTGCATTGTGTGTAACAGCTAGTTTGTTGCCCAGAACCTACAGACGCTCCGACTTTCCTTCCAGGAGAGAAGTAAATGGCTTTGCACTGAGCATGTGTATTGCTGTATTTTATGTTCTCTTTCATGGCTTTTCTGTTGACTGAATTTCCTTCGTCCTCATTACATCGGTTTCAGGGAGAATTAAGAGCTTCTCTCAGTGTCACGCCGATTCCATGAGGAGCAATGGGCGTCCCTCAGGAGGGAGGAAGAGGCACAATGGGGGCTGTGACTGAGTTCCTGGAACCTCTGAATACATGGAACAGAGGGCCGAGTGTTCCCATTCTATTCATTTATTGAGGAACACGTGATTGTTGTCTCATTGACACTCCAGGACATTAGCATCAAAATATAGGACCAGCACTCCTTCCTGGGATGAGTCCCGGGTGACAAAAGTCACATCAGAGTCTTTACAGGTATCTACTAGACTATAATAATGGTGGAGAGGTGTCTTCTACGTCCTGTCCTCAGGCTCATTCCCATACAGCAGGTGCAGGAGAAGACAGGGGCCCACACCAAATATGGGCCGGAGGATTGAGATGATGGCCTCCAGCAAAAATATGGGCATGAGGATTGAGATAATGGCCTCCAGCACAAATACGGGCATGAGGATTGAGATGATGGCTGCCAGTCCAAATACTGGCCAGAGGATTGAGATGATGGTCACCAGCACAAATACGGGCCTGAGGATTGAGATGATGGCCGCCAGCAAAAATACGGGACTGAGGATTGAGATGATGGCCACCAGCAAAAATACGGGACTGAGGATTGAGATAATGGCCTCCAGCAAAAATATGGGACTGAGGATTGAGATGATGGCCACCAGCAAAAATACGGGCCTGAGGATTGAGATAATGGCCTCCAGCAAAAATACGGGCCTGAGGATTGAGATAATGGCCTCCAGCAAAAATACGGGCCTGAGGATTGAGATAATGGCCTCCACCACAAATACGGGCCTGAGGATTGAGATAATGGCTGCCAGCACAAATACGGGACTGAGGATTGAGATAATGGCCGCCAGCGCAAATATGGGCCAAAAGATTGAGATAATGGCCGCCAGCGCAAATATGGGCCAGAAGATTGAGATAATGGCCTCCACCACAAATACGGGCCGGAAGATTGAGATGATGGCCACCAGTGCAAATACGGGCCAGAAGATTGAGATAATGGTCACCAGCAGAAATACGGGCCGGAGAATTGGGATAATGTCCGCCAGCGCAAATATGGGCCAGAAGATTGAGATAATGGCCTCCAGCAAAAAATATGGGCATGAGGATTGAGATAATGGCCTCCACCACAAATATGGGCCTGAGGATTGAGATGATGGCTGCCAGCACAAATACGGGCCTGAGGATTGAGATAATGGCTGCCAGTCCACATACTGGCCAGAGGATTGAGATGATGGTCACCAGCAAAAATATGGGCCAGAGGATTGAGATAATGGCCTCCACCACAAATACGGGCCTGAGGATTGAGATAATGGCTTCCAGCAAAAATACGGGCCTGAGGATTGAAATAATGGCCTCCACCACAAATACGGGCCTGAGGATTGAGATAATGACCACCAGGCCAAATACTGGCCAGAGGATTGAGATGATGGTCACCAGCAAAAATACGGGCCAGAGGATTGAGATAATGGCCGCCAGCAAAAATATGGGCCGGAGGATTGAGATAATGGCCACCAGCAAAAATACGGGTCGGAGGATTGAGATGATGGTCACCAGCAAAAATACGGGCCGGAGGATTTAGATAATGGCCGCCAGCAAAAATACGGGTCGGAGGATTGAGATGATGGTCACCAGCAAAAATACGGGTCGGAGGTTTGAGATAATGGCTGCCAGCAACATGTATCTACACACCCCAAAAATTTGAAAGTGAAGATGGAGTTTTGAAACTCAGTGTTGACTTTTACAGATGAGCCAAGGCTCAGGCCAGAGGATTGAGATAATGGCCGCCAGCAAAAATACTTGCTGGAGGATTTAGCTAATGGCCGCCAGTACAAATACGGGTCGGAGGATTGAGATAATGGCCTCCACCACAAATACTGGCCAGAGGATTGAGATAATGGCCTCTACCACAAATACTGGCCAGAGGATTGAGATAATGGCCTCCAGCACAAATATGGACATGAGGACTGATATAATGGCCGCCAGCAACATGTATCTACACACCCCAAAAATTTGAAAGTGAAGATAGAGTTTTGAAACTCACTGTTGACTTTTACAGAAGAGCTAAGGCTCAGGCCAAACGGAGCTCAGACCGAGCCTGAGGGAAACTGTCAAATGACAGCAGGCTGCCGGCTCAGTCAGCCATGGGTCTCCTGCCTCTCAGCCACACATAACAGAGGTGGGGATGCTGGAGACATCTTTGACTTAATATGGCCACATGACTATATTTGGACAACGTCATTGACCATGACCATTGGCCACGTGTCCATATTGTTACATGCCGGAGTTCCATGGCCTCAGCCGATTGGGACGGCAATCATTTCACAGTTTTCCCTGAACTCGGTTCAGCCAGAATCCTAACTCATCTCAATTCGCTTTGTTCCCAACATTCGTCAGGATAGGGCCTGGTAAATCCTTCCAAAACCTTCCATTCACCCGCAGGGAAAACAATTTAGACTCATAATTCCAAATATGCTAAATATGTACTTAAAATGTACTAATTAGGGAGAATAGCCCCAGATCAGAGGTGTCAGTGGCATTGTGACCACTAGGGAAAACTGCTCCTAACAGCATTGGTGTCAGTGGAATAGTGTCCCCCGGAGTACAGTAGATCTCAAGTCATTGGTGATGGTGTTATAGTGGCCAACAGGGAAAATAGCTCCCCAAATTATTATTATTATTATACAGTGTTTATATAGCGCCAGAAGGTTTGCTCAGCGCTGTACATTATAGTGGGGGACAGAACATGAGACAAGACAGTAACAATACAATACACGAGGGGTTCGAGGGCCCTACACTTTCGAGATTACAATCTAGGAGGGAGGGGATAGTGGTACAGAAGGAAGTGGCTGTGGGGGATGGAGTGGTAGGAGGAGTGGAGGAGATCGGCTGTTAGGTGAGGCTGGGGTAGGGTTCCCTGAAGAGATGGGTTTTCAGGGTGCGCCTAAAGGTGAGGAGGTTAGGTGACAGTCTGATGGTTTGGGGTAGTGAGTTCCAGAGGATGGGGGAAGTCCTGGAGAAGTCCTGCAGTCAGGCGTGGGAGGTGGAGACCAGGGAGCTAGAAAGTAGGAGGTCTTGTGAGGAGCGAAGGGTACAGGTAGGGTGGTATTTGGGTATCAGGTCGGTGAGGTAGTTTGGGGCAGCATTATGAATGGCTTTGTATGTCTGTGTTAGTAGTTTGAATTTAATGCGTTGGGCAATCAGGAGCCAGTGGAGGGAATGACAGAGGGGGGTGGAGGACACTGAATGGACACCAGTGGAGGAAATGACAGAGGGGGGTGGAGGACACTGAGTGGAGGCCAGTGGAGGGATTGGCAGAGAGGGGTGGAGGACACTGAGTGGAGGCCAGTGGAGGGATTGGCAGAGGGGGGTGGAGGACACTGAGTGGAGGCCAGTGGAGGGATTGGCAGAGGGGGGTGGAGGACACTGAATGGAGGCCAGTGGAGGTATTGGCAGAGGGGGGTGGAGGACACTGAGTGGAGGCCAATGGAGGGAATGACAGAGGGGGGTGGAGCCAGTGGAGGGAATGACAGAGGGGGGTAGAGGACACTGAGTGGAGGTCAGTGGAGGGAATGACAGAGGGGGGTGGAGCCAGTGGAGGGAATGACAGAGGGGGTGGAGCCAGTGGAGGGAATGACAGAGGGGGCTGGAGGGCAGTGGAGGGAATGACAGAGGGGGGGTGGCAGAAGCGGAGCGGTTGGTGAGGTGGATGAGTTTGGCCGCTGAGTTCAGGATAGACTGAAGCGGGGATAGTCTGTGATGAGGGAGGCCGGTGAGGAGGGAGTTGCAGTAGTCCAGACGTGAGATAATAAGGGAGTGACCGAGTAGTTTAGTAGTGTCTGGGGTGAGGAACGAACGTATTTGGAGATGTTGTGGAGGTGGAGCCTGCATGAGTTAGCCAACGATTGGACATGGGGCTGGAAGGACAGGTTTGAGTCTAGAGTGACACCCAGGACTTTGGCTTGTGGGGTGGGACTGATGGTGGCGTTGTTGGTCGTGATGGAGAGGGTGGGGGGGGGTCACGGGCTGGGGGTAAAATCAGGAGCTCGGTTTTGGAAAGGTTCAGTTTGAGGAAATGGAGCGACATCCAGTCTGATATGTCGTTCAGTAGGCAGGTGATTCGGGCGGAGACTGAAGGGGTGAGGTGGGGGGTGGAGAGGTAAATTTGCGTGTCATCGGCATGGAGGTGATAGTTGAAGCCGTGGGAGTATATCAGTTTGCCGAGGAAGGAGGTGTAGATGGAGAAGAGAAGGGGCCCAAGGACAGAGCCAAATCACTGGTGTTAGTGGGATAGTGGCCACTGGGGATAATATCTCCCAAAGCCTTTGCTGTCCATGGGATAGTGGCCAACAGGATAGAATAGCTCCCCAAATCATTGTTATCAGTGGATTAGTGGCCCCCAGAGAAGAGCAGCTCTCTAAATCATTGGTGTCAGTGTT